ATATATATATATATACAACAGTTGCATTGGATAGCAATGATCCAATGCAACGGTTGTATCGTAGTATAATGGTTGTATATATATATTTAGAGCAATGATCCAATACAACGATTGTATCATAGTACAATGGTTGTATATATATATATAGAGAGAGAGAGCAATGTTATCATAGTATAATGCAACGACACGTCTAGAAAACCACGTTTGTGGTATTTGTATGACCCCAAATTTTACATATATACTCTCTTCATCTCAATAATCAATCCCAAAACAAAAAAAGTTCAATTTAAACCCTAAATATGGTCAAAATGAATCCCCTCCAAAAATGAATCTAGACCATTCATTTTATGAATTTCAAGATCTTAACCTTTATAAGCTCAATCATTTTTTTCTTTTTTAACATTGTTCATCTAATAAAGTCATAAAAAAAAATTGGAAATGAAAAATAATTCTTCTAAAGCCTAAATCTTAACATCTCACCAAAATGAACTACCTATGTTAATTGGGCTAAAAAAATATTTTCTAAATTGTGTTTTCAATATTTTTTTCTTTTATTATGGTTGTTCATTAGAGTCAAAAGAGTGTATATTTCAAAATTTGGATCAAAAAATTAGCCATAAGATAGTTTTTTAAGGTGTTGCATCGTATTATCATATAACGGTTGCATGAAATTATTACCCATATATATATATAAAAGAGGCTTTTAATAATTCAAAATTATCTTTCAAGAATCTAAAAAGCATATATAGACCTATTGGAGCAATATATGTATGTGCACGCGCGCCACAACTTCTGGCAAAACCTTAGCAAAGAGTAACTTTATGACCCAGGACTAACTTTAGGACCCCAATTTTTAGAGATTTGACTTGATCAACCGAGCAACCAAATGAAAATGACAAAACCTAACCTAGATCATCCTGAAAAATTCAAGCCCCAATATAGCCCAAGAAGTCGGTCAACTTTTGTACAGGAACCTTTTTCGTCTCCTTGAAGATACTCAACGATTCTCACATTAAAAAAAGTGAAAATATATAATGAATCATTTATTTTGATACAAAGTGCGCGCAATTAATCTTGACTGCTTAGCAAACCACAAATGTTCCATCAAATTATCTCCACTAATATAGTGATAATGTTGAATGTTGATTAAAACAAGGCAAACTCCCAATGGATGACAGAAAAAAGTGACATTTGATAATTTGGATTCCAAGTTTCCACATCTCACAGGATCAAAGGAAATTTTTGTGAAAATTACTCTGCGATTCACAGGAAAAAAAACAATTGCAATTAACTAAAATGTTAACATTTGTTATCCACTTAGTTCTTGAAAATGTTAACTCTTTTAAATTTTTCCTAAATCTTTGATCGGTAAAATGTTTCATCTACTTCCCAAAATTCATACATCAACACTGACCAATCAGGTGACCAGTTTAACACTAATTAGGCTCGTCTTATTGACAATTAACAACACTAATCAATCTCAAGACCATTTTTGCTCTAGAAAAAAAGGGACTGCATACTAAAAGACCATTTACCTTCAGTTCAAGGTCACAATCACTACGAGCCTATGAAATCCAATAGCTTGGGGTTTACCACGAAGAATTTGAGCCTAGTCAATGGCACATCTCCAGCCACCTAATGTCAAATCTCACGACCAACACTGATTGTGACCTCTTTCTACAATGATAAATGATCTTTTTTCATACTTTTCAGAAAAAAAAACCATTAAGAAAAAGCCTATTCTCTTGATGACAACAGTAATCCAGCCATTCTCTCACCTGCAAAAAAAACATTAAAACCCACATCTCCTTGAGGTAAACCTAGATAGTCTTTGACAACTTTGCATTCCCATCCTCTTCAGGGTTCACAGAAATGGGTCGCCGACCCTTATCGGGCCCACCTATGATACCCCAAGTCTCGAATTGCCTTTGTCTTGCCCTTGCCCTTGCCTTCTCCTCCTCTGATTTAATTGAATGGCAATAAGGACATGAAACCCCTTCTTCGAAATCAGGAGACTCCATGTCTAAATCACTAATGGGTTTTTTGCATCCATAGCAAAGTTTGAATGTGCCTTGCTTAAGCCCATGTTCTACTGAGACCCTCTTATCGAACACAAAGCACTCACCTTCCCAAAGGCTTTCTTGTTCCGGGATTTCCTCAAGATACTTTAAAATCCCACCCTCAAGATGATAGACCTGAGACAAATGGTAAGCATGAAATTCACCAATACGAAAAAGATGTAAAGAAAAAACAAGAGCTGATTAACAATAAAAACCTACTTGCCCAAATAAATAAATGAGTATAAAGATTTGAAGTTCTGCTACGCTGATATCCTAGTTTATGTGTTCGGGGTGAGGAATTAGCGTCAAGGATGGTTACTAAAGGGCATGAGGACTCATTCTTTCTTTACCTTATATATTAAGATGATCAAAATGTGTGGAAAGAGAACAAACCTCTTGAAAGCCATTACTTAGGAGAAAACTTGAGGCTTTCTCGCACCTAATTCCACCTGTACAATACATTGCAACTCGAGGTGGTGCCTTCCTTTCTTGAAAATCATTCTTTGAATTTATATTCAAACCATTAAACGTTGCCTGATCAGTGGATCCAACTATTGGCAACTGATGATCCACCCATGTTGGGAAATCCCGAAATGCTGTGGTGCATGGATCTACTGCTCCTTTAAACTTTCCAATACGAGTTTCATAATAATTGCGCACATCTATTACCACCTACAATATCATGGTATCAGCAAATATAAGCAAAAAACAACCAAGTAATGAGAAAATAAAGGAAATGAAGTATAAAAGGAAAAGAAGCCTCAAAAATTATTTTCTTCAGATCAATCGATCAACTTAAAAAAGGTGACAGAACTAATAATGACTCAAAAGTAAAGAAATACTTATTTGATCCAAATTACTTACAGTCACTGGATCACTGATCAAAGCATTCCAATCACGTGGGTTAACATATTTTCCAACTCCTTTGATAGGTGACACATTTGGCATTCCCAAAGAAACTATCTGTCAAAGAAAAGTGGATGACAAAAAGGTTAAGAGATTAGAATAGAGCACCCACTTCCATGATTATTAGCACCTAGCAGGCAACCACAACCACAACTGTTAAATAGCACAATACTTCAGCCTCAACACAGTCAACTGTATTATTAGGGAAGTATGCAATAAGTAAACAGACAAAGGAAAACCATAGTCCATCGTGGTTATGGTCATTACTGTCCATCCTGGGACGCCCATTTGGGCCATGTTATGTTGGGGGGGTCCAACACCGTCCCCATCACCACCCATCATTTCACCAGACATTCATGAGACCCATGGGCCTTAGCTCTAATAGTATATTGGATTACAGCATACTATTCCTTGTTTCTGTTGAAAAGAAAACGGCGAGCCTTACTTCTTTCTTAACCTTGACCCGCACATGATCCCATCGAAATGGCGCATCTTCACCTGCTCCTAGTGGTGAATGGCTGGTGTGGCCGTGATGGATAGCCTCCTCTTCTGCACTGACAGGTGATTCAATCTGTCTAAGGCCTTTTAAGCGCTTGTCCTCTTCAATGAACCCAAGAACTTTTTCTACTGATTCACGGGTCCCACATATGCTCCCATTGATTCCTTCTGGTGCAAGAATAATACCACCTGAGACACGCTGAAAAGTATCAGAATGGTGAGGAATCGAACTTCATGAAATCCAAAATGCATCTCCAAAACATTAATGATCAATCAGTTAAAAAAAATGACATATAGAAAAATGACAAAAATGAAATATACTAAATCAGATAAATAAGTTTTCATTAGATATATGTTAATTTATAGTTGCAATTCACATATATAAGTTAATAACACATTGTGATTCATATATATAAATTATTAAAACATAAATGTCCATTCCTATCATACTTTGAAAACAATATAGAACTAAAAAAACAACTAATCACAACCCCACGCCCCACAGAGAGAGAGAGAGAGAGAGAGAGAGAGGTTCATACTAGAAGTAGAGAGACGTAAGTAGTTAGTAGTAGTAATAAACTAAATAGTAACGAAATAAAGTTAAGTAGGTAAAGGTTAAAAAGGTTAAAACGGAACCAAAACCTAAAAA